CAGTGAATGCGTTGTTGTGTGAAGGCGGGAGTTGCTTTAGTGGGGCTTTGGTGTCAGCTGAATCCACCTTTTGGGTGTGTCATTTGTGTTTTTGGCAGGGTGGTGCATCAGTGTGATCTGAAACTGGCCACCGAGTGTGTTGATTCTGGAGCATTTTGGGAGGGGCTTTGTGCAGGCCCACTTCAGCTGCCTCTAGTGCTGGGCTTGGTGGCTCTTGGTAGAAGCTACAAAGTATCCTGGGCTTGGAGGCACTTGGGAGAATGCTGCAAACTGAGCCTGGCTGCAATTTGTGCTGGGCTTGGGACCCTTAGTGGGCAACAGGATGTGAGCTGTGCCAGCTGCCACTTGTGCAGTCTTGTGGTTGCTTAGTTGAAGATACATTTCAGGCTAAGGTTAAGGCTACCACTTATGCTTGGCTTGGGGCCACTTGATGGAAGTTATCATGCAAGTTGAGATCTGTTGCTGCTTGTGCTGGCCTTGGGGCTGCTTCAGCAAGTGCTTCAAGGCACACCAAGATTTGTTGCTGCTTTTTTGGGGTTTGTGGACTTTTCAAAGATTTTTGGAAAGTCTGCAGTGAGAGTTGAGGCAGGCCACTGTGTGGAGGGGCTGCTGGAAGAGGCTTGGGCTGGTCTGGTAATTTGGGTGGGGTGGAGTCTCAAGGAATCACCAAGGGTGGGTGTTAGTCTAGTTAATCACTTGCACAGATTTGGTGCCTGCCAGCACTTTCATCCCCATAGAGAGCTGTCCCTCCAGTCCCCATCTTGAAGTTAGTCAGTTTAGTTTCTCTGCATATGGCCCTGGAGCTTTTCAAACTGCTGCCCTTGCACTGGAGCTTAGAGTGGGATTGTGTGTGAGGTTGTGTGTGAGGGAGTGTGTGCACACCCTTTATGAGAAGCTTATTGCTCTCTAGCAGCACTTTGTCCATCTCAGATGCAATCCCCACTGGTTTTCACAACCATGTTATTGTAACTCCTCTTCCCCACACTGATGCCCCAAACTGGGGGTGCCAGTGTGGGTCTGGAACCCCTTGCTCCTCAGGAGGCACCTCCACAGCCAAAATAGCACTCTGGATTCTTTTTTTTTTTTTTGTAGTATATGCCCCTGGCGGGAACCAAACCTGGGAGTCTCTGGTCCACAGGCCGATGCTCAACCACTGAGCCAAACTGGCCAGGGTGCCCTCTGGATTCTTAAACGCCAGACTGTGGGTTTGGGACCTACCATTCTGCATCTCCACCCACTTCTGCCATCCCAACATGGCTTTTTTAAATATCTTTAGTTATAGGAATTCTGTTCAGTTAGTCTTAAGGTGGTTCTCAATGATGGTTGTTCTGTAATTTAGTTGTAATTTTGCTGTGGTTGTGGGAGGAGGGCAGCAGAGTTTACGTAGGTTGCCATCTTAACCAGAAGTCTGGGAGTGTTTTCTTTACTGTCTGTTTCATGCTAAAGTCAATTTAATGAACTTTAGCTAGCCCCATTCTGGTGCTTGTCATGTTTCTGAGGATAGTTTTTAAAATTCCTTTGTTTTTGAAGCTTGGTACAGAGTACAACTTTAATTTCCAGCTGGGCAAAGATCTAAAACTAGTTTCAGCCCTTATGTTTAAACAGATGAAATGGATAGTCACAGAAAATGACTATTGATAACCATTTCCAGTTGGACTTCCTGCCTGTGCCATTTTGAAGGTGGATTAGATCAGGTTTGGTTATGGAAATATAGTATCTGAAGACTGGAACTTCAGAGACCACAGTCAGAGTGATGAAGGACATTTAACCATAACAGATAAGGAAAGGCTCAGATAAGAAAATACCCTGAAGAAGAGAATATAAAGAGACAAGAGAGACATCTTGAGTTAGGGTGAGTGCTATCCTGTGGCAAAGGAATTAGATGTTTTCTGTAAATCTTCAAGGAAAGGACAAGCCCAGTGGGTGGAGGCTGCAGAGAGAGGAATCTTGGTGTGTTCTAAGGAAGCATTGGGAATGGATGGACCTCTCAGGATGTGGTATCAGGTTCTTGGGGCTTTTCAAGCATCTGTGATACTTTGGTAGGAGTCCTGTAACTGGGCTGAACTACCTCTGTGATCTCTTCCTACCCCTCAGATACTTTTGTTGTAAGTGTTCCAAGTCCTCTTCACAGCACAGTTGTACTTTAAGAAGCTTCGTATTTGATGGTTGGAGGATGTAAAACGATGGCTACCTCACGCATGTTACTGTACTTTTTTGTAGTTCATTAAATCTTGATCCATTTACCAAGCATATCACATGTGTGGGCACTGTGTTAGTGATGTACACAAATTAGTTTACAGTGACTGGTAAGGTCACCATTCCTAGTTGCGTGGATTAAGGAACTGAGGCTAGGAGAGGTTATGAGGCTAAGAAAGGATAGTAACTTATGCAGGGCACAGTGAGTTAAGGGGAAGTAGTACATCATGCAGACATATATTGGACTCTAGAGCCTGTGTACAGGAGAATGAATTTGGTTTTTGTTTCCTTTTCCAGATCTGTATCCTCTGTTCCTAAACACAGACATATATTGGTTGAGAGATGGTGTGAGAACACACCTAAGATCTCTTCCAACTCTTGAGTATTGATGATTAAATGTGTTATTTCTTTCCTTTATAACATACACTCTGCCCTACACTGTGCCGTAAAGCAAGGATAAGCAAACTTCTGTAGAGGGCCAGGTAACAAATATTTTAGCCTATATTCAACTCTTCCATCATATCCATAGATGGTTTGTAAACAGTGAGTGTGGCTGTATTCCATTACAATTTCATTTACAGAAATAATCTTCGGAGGGACCCCATTTGGCCTGTGGGCTGTGGTTTGCTGATCCTGCTTCAAAGCTATTTTCTTCTTTCTTTTTGAAAGTATAATTTCCATTTTATTATTTCCAGAGAACTTCCTTGAGTCCTTAAGGACTTAGCTCCATACATGGGCTTTGGTGGAGGATTGGGCAGCTCCTGCAGGTCTGCATTGGGTGGGGGTATTAGTTTGGTCCTTCCGGCTTCACAAGAATGATTCCTTACTACTTTGCTGTGAAGGGCCAGGGATCGAACCCTCAACTAAAATACATACCCTTGACCAGGAATCGAACCTGTGACTCTTTAGTGTGCAGGCCGACACTCTAACTACTGAGCCAAAGTTGCCAGGGATTGAATGACAAACCTCTTAGTGGCCTTGTCCTTGGGCACGCATCAAGTGCAGTTGGTGCAATGAATAGGCTGCAGGTTGCCACGGCCCTCTTTGGCACAACCACTGTTCCTCCTTTTCTTGGTCATCTTGAAAGCAGGGACCCAAGAGCCTAAAGCTGTTTTCCATGGCAAACACCAGTGGACCACCTTGGTCACTTTGGGGCTTTGGTCAGTTGTGCATATGTGTCTGTTTGTGTTTGTAGACTTTAGGTGAATTGGTTATAATACCCCGTATTTCCCATTTTGGAATGTCCCTTAAGAGGTGCACTCTGGCCCAGCTGGTGTGGCTCAGTGGATTGAGTATCATCCCGTGGACTGAGAGGTCCCATTTCAATTCCCAGTCAAGGGCACATATCAGGGTTGTGGGCTTGATCCCCAGTAGGGGGCGTGCAGGAGGCAGCTGATCCATGTTTCTTTCTCACATTGACATTTCTATCTCTAAAAAAATCAATAAAAACATTTTAAAAAAAAAGTTACGCTCTGTGGGGAAATATACTCTTATAACCTGGTGGGACCATAATTTGCACTATCCCTGTGACCCAGTGGTTCCTTCTTGCAATTACTATAGAGACATGCACATGGGTGGAAGGAGACCTGTTCAGGATAGTAACCTCCAACATGTGGCATATCTGCACCATAGAATACTGGCAGTAGTTACAAAGGACACAATGAGGACTGTATTTTCTAATCTAGATTGTCAAAATTTATTGTTTAATGAAAAAGCAAAGTATAGGTAGATTTGTATGATGCCTTTATGTGTTAGAAATGTATTTTTTATACATATATTTTATGGGGGTCTTGTGTGAATGTGTAAAATAGGTCTGATGGTGTCCATACCAAACTAATATGGACTGGGGAGATGGGTGGAAAGGAACCTGGAACTGGGGCTGGTGATTATAGCCTTAACTATCATATTTCTGTTTTTTCACAAGAACATGTTTGTATATTACTTGTGTAATTAAAGTTTAAGAATAACAAGATCTGTGTGGCTTCAGCCCTTTCTCAATCTCCACCAGCCTTCCCAAGTAAACAAACTGCAGAACTGCAGTGGGCATGCTGGGAAGGTGCCCCATGCCCCATGGACTACTCCAGTGTTCCTGTTGCATTGCATTCAGCCCAGAGAGTGGAAGGTAGAGGGCACACTAATGGCCAGTGAGTTAGAACCTCTGCTCTCATGACTTTCTGTTTAGTCACTGTTGTCTGTCATTTGCATGGTCACTTCACTGGCCTACAAAGTTGATATATAGTCAGCCTTGTGCTGTACTTGAGGAAAATGCAGATTACAGGGTCAGTTTTAGATGTGACTTAGGGCATCTGAGAGGCAGCTGCCAGGCCAGGTGGAGGTTTTATGCTAAACAGATATTATAGGAAATGCTGGGCATAGATGGGTCATTTACTTACTGTCTAAGGATCAATCAATCCATGTCCTTGCTAATGGCTCTGCCATTTTTCTATGTGATAATCCAGGAGGAATTGTGTTGTCAGAGAATAAAAGGAGGTTGTCCATAATTGACTTTAAGCAGCAAATTGTAAAACACTGAGCTCTTCAGCTCCACCTTTCTTGTATGTTTATCATTTATTCCCAGTGTTCATGAAAACTGATTAAATCATGTGATAACATATTTTCATAGATTTGAAACTGCAAAATCTAAATGGACTTTTTATTTGTTCAGATATATATATTTAATATAAAAGACTCCATTATGATGAAAACTAATTTCCTTCAGCTGAAGTTATTTACTATTTTAAAAAATCCATTCCATTGTATTTAATATCATATGGCAATTCTTGATGTATTTTATATTCTTCTAGGCTGTGAGAATTGGAAAACCAAGAAGGTTTTGATGTTTTGTGTGGCACCAGCTGAATTAGAAACCAAGATGAACATAACAAAAGGAGGTCTGCTGTTGTTTTCAGCAAGTTCTAATTCATCATGTATGGAGCTTTCAAAGAAAATTGCAGAGTGAGTTATAATCATGCAATTAAAATTTTTATTGTGTGATTATTTAACTTGATAATTGTATTAGTGCTGATTGTTAAGCTTGAGAACAGATAGTTCATCTGCATATATTAAGGGCTAACCTTTTTGTAATCTTAACACTCTATACATACATTCAGCAGACATTTATTGAGTGCCTCGTGAGTGCCAGGGTTTGTGGTAGGTCCTTCATATGTATAGAATATTTGAGTATAAAGAACACTGAAGTGGATGCTATACAGAATTAATTTACAGATTATAGTTAAACATAATTATAGTTATTTGAGGTCTTGATTTTTATATTGGGGATTAACAGTGAACAGCCAGTGAAAATCCTTCCTTCTTACAGACAAGTAGCAAGTCAACAAAATAAACATGATAATTTCAAACTGAAAGGAATGATGGGACAGGTTATTCTGTATTACCTTGGGTGCTCGGGTGCCTTTTAAACTGAGGGCATGATATGTGAATTGAAAAACCTGAATATATTAAGCTGAATGAAGATTTGGGGGCAGAGCCCTCCAGGCAGAGGGAACAGTAGGTTCAAAGCCCTTGTGTTGTGCAGCAGGAGTTGTTGGTGTATCTCAAGAATGTGGGTGGGGAGTAGAGCTCCAGGAAATGGTCAGTGAGACAGGCAGAGCGGGACTACATAGACCTTCCTGGGTAGGCATGGGCTGGGGGTGAGGGGTCAGGTATTGGCGTGACAGTACAATTTAATGTTAACTCTACATTTTGTAATATGAATACCTCTATTTCATTTTTATTAATTTATGAATCATCCCTAAATAGTAAAGATGTTGAGTCTATTCTATTACCTTTTCAGCTTTTCCCCCCCTTTCTCTTCTCTAGGCGGCTGGGGGTGGAAATGGGCAAAGTGCAGGTTTACCAGGAACCTAACCGAGGTGAGCTATCTTTGACATGTGTAACATTGATCTTTTTGCAGAATATGACACACTGGCTCAGTCCTTCATCCTCCACTATTGAAACAATTAGACTTAGTGTCCAGTTAGTTCCATTAGCAGGAAGTCAAGCAAGGAAGCTGGGCAAAAATGGCATTTAGCTCCCACTAGTTCAACTAGAGAGAGAACCCTGGAGCAAGTCGCATCTGGGAGTTTGAATGCCAGTTCTTAGAGCTTATTTAATAAAAACTGCATTGGTATATGAACCAGCTGGTCAAGAGAATGGAAACAGTATCTCTGTTGGTTGGATTTGTCACTTTGGGCAAGATGAGTAAACCTGTTTGGCCACAGCACTGATTGGTTGTTGTTATTCACCTCTGTGAGTGGCCTTGGGTCAGACTTTATGAAACCATGTTAAGAAATGCTTTTTGTTAATTGATTTATGTCATTGCATAAATATCTCAAGTTGTAAAAAGCATGTATTATTTAACCTTTGTAATTTCTGTATTCTAGCAGGGGCGATGGCAGCTTGCATGGGCTTGAGAGTCAGACAGCTTATCCTTGGCAAGTTATATATAACCTTTCTTTTTCTTTTTTTAATCCTCACCCGAGGACATTTTTTCCATATTTTGTTCAGATAGAGTGGGAGGGAGAGAGAGAAAGAAACATCGACATGAAAGGGACACATCGAGTGGTTGCCACCCACACGACCCAACTAGGGCTGGGGACAAACTGCAACCGAGGTACGCACCCTTAGCCGGAACCAAACCCGGGTCTCTCTGGACCACAGGCCGACTCTCTAACCGCTGAGCCAAACTGGCCAGGGCTATATAACCTTTCTAAACTGAATAATTAGGGCTGTTTGGTGATTAAGTGAGATAATTTGTGCCTAACACAGTTCTTCGTACATAGCAGGTACTCAATAAATATGAGTTCCCTCTCCTTTTCCACTGTAGGATTTTGTCAAGTGTTTACATATTATGGAACTTAAAATAGACTGATGAAAAGGCACAAATTTTCTCTTCCCCCATTTATTTCTCCATTACTGCTTCCTCTTTCCTGTCTTCCAAGTTGCCCCATGTGGCTTCAGTAGGAAAAAAGTGTAATTGAAGAAAATATACAGGGAGAGTTTGGAGAAGATAATGCTGCTAAAGGGAATGGATATTGTCCTTTGTCTAGTAAGGAGGGGAGGGTTAGGGGAGAGTTAATGGTAGAAGACTCAGGAGGAGGTTGGTCTCCCCTCCAGGTTTATGAGTGAGGGGAGAGAAAATACTTGGTGTCTGTTGTGAAGGAAGGTGGGAACTAGCATTTAGGGACTCCTTCCCAAATTTTGAACTAAATTCAGGTATGATATTGAATAGGAGGTCTCACAAGTAGTAGGGACAAGATTTGGTTCTAGATCTTTCTGACGCTAAAGCTCATTTTCTTTCTATGGTACCATGTTCCTTTTTAAACATGTATTTTGTTTTTTTTCTAGCATTTTAAATGAAAAATGTTCAAACATATAAAAAAATGAAATAGTACAGTGAACACCTATCTGTATATGTACCACCTAGATTAAGCAGTTAACATTTGCTGTGTGAATATGTATGTGTAGAAGTAAGTTGCAGACATCGAGATACTTAACCCTGATACTTGGTCATGCATCTCTGAAGAGTGAGGACCTTATCTTACATTAATACACTGTCAATGTTATTTGATAATTCTGTAATCATCTAATGTCTGATCTATATTTAAAATTCTCTGGTTGTCCTAAAGACAGCTATTTTTGTTTGTTTGTTTATTTTTTCCCCAAACCAGGATTCATGGTTCAAGTACTCTATTTCTAATATCTCTTTAGTTTCTTCTAGTCTTCATCAATTCCTTGTCTTTTCTTTTTTTCTTCCCATGACATTGAGTTTTTTGTTGTTGTTGTTGTTTATCCTTACCCAAGAACATTTTTTCACTTTTGGTCAGATAGCGAGGGAGGGAGGGGGAGAGAGAGAGAGAGAGAGAGATCGATGAGAAAGGGACACACCGAATAGCTGCCTCCCACACGACCCCAGCCAGGGCCAGGGATGAATCGCAACCAAGATACGTGCCCTTGACCAGAATCGAACCCGCAATTCAATGGTCCGCGGGCCAACGCTCTAACCTCTGAGCCAAACTGGCCCGGGCGACATTGAGTTTTTGAAGAATCTGTCTTGTTCTGTTCTGGGTTTGTTTAATTGTTTTCTTGTGGCTGATGACAAATTTTTTGAGAGTAGGCTATTGGACCTCATTTATCATTACTCTCACAACGTTGTTACAACATTTTGTGCCTAATACATTCTTACTTGTTGCTGGTTGAGTAAATGAGCATATAATTTCCTATAAAGGTACAGTGCTTACTGCTTATGTGCAAGAAGTGAGAGGGTACAGTTACTGGTTTCAAGTCAGAAATGTAGTTCTGTCTTAAAGATATCTTGTAATCATGTTTAAAGAGTGTGGCTCATGGCAGTATGTTTGTTATCCTTTTGTAGCATCTAAAACTAATCTGTTTTATAACAATTCCAGTTTCCTATTTTGTGACATTGGAAAAGGTTGAAACTTTTTTGTGTATTTTTAAAAACATAAAGGGTACACTTTCTTCACCCATCCCCATTATTTTTCCTTTTCCTGCCAGAAACAAGAGTACAAATTCAAGAGTCAGTGAGGGGAAAAGATGTTTTCATCATTCAAACTGTTTCAAAGTAAGTACTAATCTAACAGAAGTATTGTTGCTTTCTGGGTTTCTGTTTCTGCATCAGCGTTTAGAATTAGAGTTGGCTAGACAGGAAGAATTAAGGTAGTTTTAAAATTGGTGTCTTACTTTGCTTATTTTTCTGACTTAACTGCTTACTTTTATGTGTAAGCAAATACAGTAGTCCCCTAGGTATTCATGGGGATATGTTTCAAGACTCCCAGTGGCTGCCTGAAACTTTGGATAGTACTGAATACAATACATACTATGGTTTTCCTATACACACATACATATCTGTGATAAGTTTATTTTATAAATTAGGCGCAGTAGAGATGAACAATAGTAACCAATAATAAAATGGATGACTACAATGATACACTGTGATTAAGTGATGGGAATGTGGTGTGTGCGTATGTCTCTCTGTCTCTGGTAACTGATCTGATAACCAAGACAGCTACTAAGGGACTAATGTGCAGATGTCATCTATAGCATGGGTATGCTGGACAAAAGGATGACTAATGTCCCAGGTGGGATGGAGCGGGACAGTGAGAGATTTCATCATGATACACAGAATGGTGTACAATTTAAAACTTATGAATTATTTATTTCTGGAATTTTCCATTTAATATTTTCCTACCATGGTTGACTTCGGATAATAAATCACAGAAAGAGACACTGAGGATGGGAGGAGGGCTACTGTGTTGGAGTACGGGCTCTTAATAGGACTCACTCTTCAGCATCGGGGTGGGGAAATTGCAGAGCACAGAACAACTTATGTTGCTTCTGGCTCCTGGGTGTTTACAGTACTTTTATCTCCCCAGAGACAAGTGTCAGTACATTTGGATAAATGTACAGAGGTTGTATATGTTACCCAAGAGGATAATTAGTCACTAAAGGCCAAATTGGACTTAGAATTCAGGACTTCAGAAGAATGACTCTTGTAATTCATGTTTTCAAGTCCTTGTATTTATTTTCTTTTATTTTAACACTTAATCTTTTCCTGCCTTTTGTCTGTTTTTTATTCCTCTAACCAAAACCATCTCCTTAATATTTTCTACATGTCTCATTTTGTATTGTTCCAAACTGTGCAGTAGGTTTGTGTTAATTCAGCTGTTCTTACTCTTGTCTAGGTTACAGAAAGCATGGGCATCATGGTCTTCTTTGTAAAATACTATGAGATAGTTAACATTGAGATTTGGTATTGTCAAATACAGCATATACTTTATTTTAGTACAGAATAGTAGTTGGCACTAAAAGTATAAGAACATTTTTAAATTAAAATCTTGTCCATTGACTTTTCAGATGAGTTCATTATTTAAGTTTAGTGATGGAAAACTTTGTACCAACTAGCAGAAAAATGGTGCTCCTGGGAGCACAGCTTGGGAACCTCGGTGTAAGTTGACACTCACTGTGGTTTCTCTGGTCTAACCCTTTCATGTGGAACACTTCTCTGAAAGCCTGCTTTAACTCTGCAGATGTCAGGCTGCTGTTAGCTAGTAACAGAGCACGCCCTCACCCAAATGATGTTTCTACTCATTTATTTATTAACAAATTATTGAATATGCTAGTCACTGTTGCAGGTGTGTGAGATGCATTGAAGATTAGAACGAGATCAAGATCCTCGTTCTCATGGAATATATATGGTGGGGCAAAAGTAGGTTTATAGTTGTTCGTATGGAATATAATACAATAATAGATAATAATACAGGAATAAACTGTTTCTCATACTCACAACTGTAAACCTACTTTTGCCCTACCCTGTATATTCTAAAACTTGCAAGTTACATAATAAATAAGTAGGTTATTTAGTTTGTCAGAAGGTGATGGGTGGTATGGGAAAAAACAACCAGCACAGCAAGGAATTGGGAGTGGTGGGGTGAAACGGTGGAGAAAGGGTGCACAGGGTAGGTCTTATTAACAGTAAATATTTGACAGCCCTAACCTGTTTGGTTCAGCAGTTAGAGTGTTGGCCTGCAGACCAGAGTCGCAGGTTCGATTCCACTCAAGGGCACATATTTTGGTTGTGGTTTGTCCCTGGCCCTGGTCGGGGTCATGTGGGAGGCAACCAGTCAATGTGTCTCTCTCACATTGATGTTTCTCTCTCTCTCTCCCTCCCACTCTATCTGAAGATAAATAGAAAAATGTCCTCAGGTGAGGATTTAAAAACAAATAAAATTTAAAATAATAAACATTTGACAAACCTGGAAGAAGGTGAGGGAGTAAACCAGGTGGCCAGCTGAGGAGGAGAGCCAGGAGTATCTAGAGTGAAGGCCCTTGGTAGGAGTCAGCACTGACAAGTTATGTATGGCCGGACTGAGAGGGGGCATGGAGTAGGAGTGGACAGCAGGGAAGTGGGGAAGAACAGATCATGAAGGGGCTATGGGCAAAATGGGAAGCCATTTCTGGATCTTGAGCAGAGTGGCATGATCTGACTTTCATTTTAATATCTATATGGATACTGTGTGGAGAATGGACTGCAGAGGGACTGTGGGGGTGGGGAATAGGGAGACCTGTGGTAGTGGGCTGTCCTAGTCATCTGATTGAGGGGCAAGAGTGGCAAGGCCTCAGTGCAGTAGTGGAGTAGTGGGATGCTGTACCTTTCTGGACAGGAGAGTAGTTAAGGATGCCCCTGAGGTTTTTGCCCTGAGTAAACTGGGGGACTAGTGTTACCGTCAATTGAGATAGTAGAAGTTTTTATGATAAAGCAGGCTTTTGGGGGCAAAGAGCAGTTTAATTTGGAGTGTGTTAAGTTTTGAGATGTCTTAACACAATCAGGTGGAATTGTCAAGTAGCAGTTGAATTTGTTAGACTGAGATTGAGGAGCTTGGACTGGGGCTATAAATTTGAGTCTCCAGTATTTATAAAGCTGTGGAATTGGATGCGAAGCCTGAGGAATGAGGGGAGATAGTAGGAGAAGATGACAGATGAATGAGTGTTAGGGCTAGAAGTTGGGGAGGAGAGACACTGGCAAAGGAAACCCAGTAGTAGAGCAGGGCAGCAGGGGAGGCCTGGAGGCCAGGTGAGCCCAGAGGAGCAGGGAGCAGGGTGAGCAGCTGTGCGTGATGCCGCCGACGAGCCAGCGAGAGGAGGGCTGAGGACCGACCTTGTCATTGAGCCACACAGAGGCGTTGATCACCTGGATCAGAATGTGGTCGGGAGACAATGAGAGTAGAGGGTTGGAGACAGCAAGTGTAGACCTCTCTGCTGATACCTCCTGCACAGGGGAGCAAAGCAATGGGGCAGTGGGGCAAGTGGTCGTGAGTTCTTGTTTGTAATGGAAGAAATAGCAATGCTTATGCTCTGGGCGGTGGGGTATAAGCCTGGGAGTGTAGTAACTAATTGATGATGGAGGCAAAGAAGGAGAATTGCTGGGGCAATCAATACATTCCAGTAGGCAAGACAGGATGGGGTTAATGTGTAATTTGGAGGGCTAATTTTAGAGTAACGTTGGTGTGGAAAATTCATCTCTCACTGAGGGCTGAGGGCAGGTAGACTCCTCGGGTACAAAAGCACGTGGTAGAAGCCTGTGGAAGGTCTTTTCTCAGTGAAAAAAGGAGTAGGGTCGTTGGCTGAGAGCGGACGTGGGGGAGCTGAGGGAGGAGAGAGATTTACTGGTTTCCTCTGTGTGCCTTGAGCCCTAAGTCTGGGTAGAGCATGAGCAGCACATTTCTAACACTTGGTTGGAACAGGAGATACTATCCAGTGTCTTACGTTCCTCGCTGGGATTTCTGTCTCTGGGTTTCCAGGGCGTGAACAGCACCTCCATGGAGCTCCTGGCTGTGGGATATGCCTGTAGGACCTCTTGTGCCAAAGCATCATCGGTGTCATCCCTACGTCCCTTACAGCAAACGGCGCAAGACGAGAAAAAGAGGCTCCATTGTTTCTAAATTGCTGGCTTCAGTGATGTGCAGAGCTGGTAAGAACGGCAGGTGTTTGATAATTAATTGGGATCCTGGGAGTTTTATTTTTATTCTGGAAATTGTAAAGCATTTTTAAGACTAAATTGGAAAGCTGAACAGAGTAAAAATAGTGATACAGCTTTTATTTTATTTATTTTAAAAGATTTTTGAGCCCTGGCCGGTTTGGCTCAGTGGTTAGAGCGTCGTCGGCCTGCGGTCCAGAGAGACCTGGGTTCGGTTCCCGCTAAGGGCACCTACCACGGTTGCAGTTTGTCCCTGGCCCTGGTTGGTTGTGTGGGTGGTAGCCACTCGATGTGTCCCTTTCACGTTGATGTTTCTCTCTCTTCCTCCCTCCCACTCTGTCTGAACAAAATATGGAAGAATGTCCTCGGGTGAGGATTAAAAAATAAATAAATAAAATAAAAGATTTTTGAATTGATTTTTAGAGAGAGAAAAAAACCTTGATGTGAGATTGAAACATCTATCGGCTGCCTCCTGCATGCCCCCTACTGGGAATTGAACCCTCAACCCAGTCTTGTGCCCTGACCAAGAAATGAACCCGCAACCTTTCATAGCACAGGACAATGCCAACCACTGAGCCACTCTGGCCGGGGCAGATGCAGCTTTTTTTTTTTTATTTATTTAAAGAGAGACGAGAGGAGAGGGAGAGAGAGGGAATCGAACTGGTGACCTCTTGGTGCATGGGTCTACGCTCAACCACTGATCCACAACGGCTGGGTGGCAGATACAACTTTTAAAGTTAACTAATGTATGAGAAAACAGTGCAGAGAATTCTCTGCTATTTCCCACTCCTCAAAACACAAAGGTAACGAGAACAACTTATTTTCTTCCTAAATTCTTTGCTTAAAAATAATATTGAAATGACCAATTATAATCATATCAAGTCATTTTTAAAGAGCGGGGGAGAGGCATTCTGAACCAATTGCTTTAACACAGCAACTACTTTTATTTTAGTCTCTTCCCTTTCCCAGGACAGGTTGGTATATTTTGTAATGTGTGTATTATTTTGTGTTGTGCGTTTTCAGTAACGTCCTAAGTGTTTCCCCCTTGTTTCTAAATAATCTTCCGTTGTTATTGTGTGTATGTGTGCATGAGATTGTAGGAGGCACATAGACAGAAAAGAATAAAAAGTCCTTATATCACTACATTTTAACACAGACACCATAGATTAAATTTTTTACTGTAGCATTTCAAAGAAGGCAAAAATAAAGCAAAATTTGATAAAACTCAAATCCTAGCAACCTTACAAACATACCCCATTGAAAACTCTGTGATAGGTAGCTGGCTGAAGGGAGCAGGCTGGCTCACCAAACCTTCCAGAAAGGTTCTGCCCTTCTCGTCTAACCTTGCTCCTGGGTAGAACATTAGGCTTACTCTTCTACTTTTTGGGAAAGTTTTGCTTTTTAATATTTTTCCAATTGAATTTTTTTAATACTTTTATAATGATTATTTAAAATATCCTTTAATGAGCCAATTGGTAAAGGTTCTCATTTTTTCCAATTACAAGCCTGTACAGTTTGCCTTAATATCTTAAGGCACTATTTGTCTTATATGGTGTTGCCGTGCCTATTAAGGAAACTTCAAGATATAATTTGCTGTAATATAATTATCAGAGACATTTCTATGTTACTGTTACCTTTGCTATTTTAAGACTTTAAATTGATGTGCAATTCATGCATCTCTGTGTCAGGAAAACCACCCAGTCTGGCCCTCTTGAGTAAGGAAACCCAGTTCTCTAGTTCTCTACCTCCTGTATGTCTCCTTTACTGCTCACACAGCACTTCACTGACACGGGTGGTCACCTAATGTGTAGCTTTTTCCTAAACCTAGCAATTCTCCATGACAGTTGGGTGTCCTACAATTTAACTAAATTCTGACACTGTCCATCTGGAAATAGTGTCAGAGCCCACAGGCTAAGGGCCCAGCCCCCCAGAACTGCCCCCAACCCTTCGGCTGCCAACTGCAGGTTTAGGTTGTCACCTGTGCTTCTGACCAGGTGGCTCTAAACCTGAAGTTCCCACCGTCCTCTTTCCGGGTTTCATGAATTTGCTAGAGCAGCTCATCGAACTTGGGAAAATGGTTTACTTACTGTTTCCCAGTTTATTATAAAGTTATAATTAAGGCTACAGATGGAAAAGATGTATAGGGCAAGGTATGTAGGACTAAGGGGCATGGAGCTTCAGTGCCTTCTCAGGGTGCGCCACTCTTCCCAGTGCTTGGAAGGTCTCCAAAACTCGTGCCATTAGGATTTGATGGAGGTTTCCTCGTAGGCATAATCAATAATTTTCTCATTTCTAACCCCTCTCGCCTCTGGAGAGAGGAGAAGGGCTTGAAAATTCCAAGCTTCTAACCATGGATTTGTCTTACTGGTGACCAGCCCCCATCTTGGAGCCCACCTAGAGTCTCCTCATTAGAACAACAGATACTCCTAGTGCTCTTATCACTTAGGAAATGACAGTGGAGTTAGGAGCTCTGTGCCAGGAACCAGGGGCAGAGACCACTATCTATATAGTTATGTCACGATCTCATACTGAAATATCTGAGATATAAAGATGATAAATTTTTTTAATGAGAGCAGTTTTTAACAGTAATTTAACATATAGTCTCCTATTTGATAGAGTACTCATTTCATCCAGTGCAGCTGGTTGTTAAACTATTTGTGTGTTTGTGTCTGCTTTCTTTTCAAAGGTCTGATTCATCTTATTGCCATGGATTTTCACCAGAAGGAAATCCAAGGCTTCTTTAATATTCCTGTTGATAATTTCAGAGCATCTCCCTTCTTATTACAGTGTATTCAGGACGAGGTAAGCCAGCTCAAACTATTTTAACACTCAGTTTAAGGTTGAAATACATCTCGATGTACTTGGGCTGTCCATAAAGGATTAAAACTTTATAAATTCTGCTTAAAGTACTATTTACTTTAGAAATGTAACTCACTGTCCGGCTGGTGTGGCTCAGTGGTTGAGCATTGAGCCATGTACCAAGAGATCGCTGGTTCGATTCCTGGTCAGGGCACTTGCCCAGGTTGTGGGCCTGATCCCCAGTGGCAGGCATGCAGGATGCGTCCAGTCGATGTTCTCTGTCATTGATGTTTCTGTCTCTGTCTCCCTCTCACTTCCTCTCTCTCTAAAATCAATAAAGGAAAAAATAAATTAAAAAAAAAAAGTAACTCACAGTATTTTAAAATTCTTAATCTTTATTTCTTTTGCTAAACTGTTTTTTCTTCTTTTGGACCTTAGGTACCTACAGTTGGACTAGTTGTGATCATGACAACTCACTCTCATCATTGGTCCATGTATGGTCCTGGCCCTCTTATGTATCCATCTTTCTACTTTATCTCTTTGTCCATTCATCTGTAGTAGTCAGCATCCATAGTATTACCATCCATCAAGTAAACAGAATCATCATAATGACATACCATCACTCATGCGGTTTCTGTCTGTTCCATCCCCCTGCCTCCTCCCACCTGAGTAAACCGTGATCCCGAATCTTGTTTCATCTTTCTCCCAATTTTCTTTTTATATGGTTTTATCTCATTCATGTATAGAGATATATACAGTGTATATTACTTAAAGACAAAAATACAAAAAGTATATTTTTAATTTTTATAAAAAACTAATTTTGGGGTAATTTTTCACTTGATGTTATATTAGTAAGATTCATCCATATTGTTGTGTGTCACAGTTCATCCATTTTTTCTTTTTTGTTAATCCTCACCCTAGGATATCTTAACACTGATTTTCAGAGGTGGGGGTGGAAATAACAATGTAAGGGAGACACATCAGTTGGTTGCCTCTCGCACGACCAGACCAGCGCCGGGGATTAAACCTGAAACCTAGTATGTGTCCTTGACCAGGAATTTAACCCAAGATCTTTTGCTCCACTGATGCTCTAACTACTGAGCCAAATCAACCAGGGCCATCCATTTTTTTTTTTTTTAAAGAATAGTTTATTTTTAGAGATAGAGAGAGAAACATTGATGTGAGAATGTAACATTGATCGGCTGCCTCCTGCACACCCAAACCAGGGATCAAGCCTGCAACCCATGCATGTTCCCTGACTAGGAATCAAACTGTAAACCTTCCAGAGGATGGGACTATCCTCAGCCAACTGAGCCAGGGCATAGTTCATCCATTTGACTAATGAGAAATACTTACTGTGCAGCTGTTATCACAATTTATTCATAAGATTTTTGCTGTTGTGATAATGCTTCTGTGAGTATTCCTACATGTGTGTCCTATGGTACTTAAGCAAAAGTATATCTTGGTTATATACCTGTGGTTGAATTGCTAGGCTGTGTGGTGTGTGAATGTTTAATTTTTCCAAAGCAGTTATGCCAGCTTACATTCCCACCCGTAGTGGATCCTGGGGGTCCATTTTTGCTTCAGTACTTACATTATCAGATTTTAAAATGTTTGCCAGTTGAATGGCTGTGGTATGGTATCTTGTGATTTTGATGGATATATCGCTGATGATTTAAGAAGTTGAACATCTCTTAAATGTTTTTTTCTTCTGTGAAAAAGTGCTTAATGCCTTTTGTCTATTTGTTTCTTTGTGAGCTATCGGCATTCTTTTTTTATTCTTGACTCTAGCCATACGTTAGTATTTATTTCACACGTCTCTCAGTTTATATCTTATCTTTTAGTTTTCTTCAGGGAGTCTCGATAAGCAACATATTAAATTTTCTTTTTAACCGAGGTGAAATTCACATAATATAAAATTCACCATTTTAACACAAGCAGTTTAGTTATTTTTAGTACAATCACTGGCTTGTGCATCCATCACCTCTATCTAGTTCTAAAACATTTTCATTACTCCAAAAGAATACCCTATACTCATTAAGTAATCAGTCCCCATTCTTCCCTTCCTTTGTCCTTTGGCAACCACTAATCTGCTTTCTGTCTCTGGATTTGCCTATTCTGGACAGTTCATATAAATGGAGTCATACCGTATGTGACCTTTTGTGACTGGTTTCTTTTACTTAAAATAATGCTTTTGAGCTTCATCAACATTTTAGCATGTATAAGGACTTGATTGGTCTGTATCAGGATGTTTTAAGGAAATTGTGAAGAGGAGGGCTACAAATATGTTTTGACTGTGTATGTAGAGATCCCATCCTATCTCATCAATTTTTAAAATAGGAACTTCTAGAGTTATCCTGTTTCTGATTGGGTTACACCCCGCCTCCCATGTTCTTATTGTCTTTATATCCGGCCACTCTCATATCACAGAAATGGGCTATGGTAGGACATGGAGAACCAGGAACAAGGGAGGGGTATTAGAAAAGGAGTGTGGAGTATAGGGCAGTTAGATTCTTTGTGGTTCTACAAGTGGCCTGATGATGTTTTCCCTTAATGATTCAGGGAAAAGTTATTACAGAGTTTAGAAGTCAGACTGATGATGAGTAATTTTTTTCTAAAAAAATCAAAACTTATCCCGGCCAGAGTGGGTCAGTGGGTTGAGCGTTGTCCCATGAACGGAAAGGTAACGGATTCTGTTCCTGGTCAGGCCACATGCCGGGTTTAGGGCTTGATCCCCAGTAGGGGGCACGTAGGAAGCAGCCAATTGCTGTTTCTCTCTCACATCAGTCTGTTTCTCTTTCTCTTTCTTTCCTTCCCCCACCCACTGTCTCTAAAATCAGTAGCAACACCCTGGCCGGTTTGGCTTAGCGGTTAGAGCATCGGCCTGCAGTCCGGAGAGACCCGAGTTCAGTTCCCACTAAGGGCATGTACCTCAGTTGCGGTTTGTCCCCGGCCCTGGTTGGGTTGTGCGGGTGGCAGCCACTCGAGGTGTCCCTTTCACGTCGATGTTTCTCTCTCTCCCTCCTATTCTATCTGAATAAAAAATGGAAAAATTTCCTCGGGTGAGGAAAAAAAATAAATGAAATCAGTAACAACATATTTAAAAAAAGTAAAAATTTATATTGCATTGGCAGTGTAAGGAAATGTATGTATGATTGTATAGCAATTTTGACAGCAGTGGTAAAGCACCAGCTTCCCTGGGCCCCCAGCCTGGTTGTGGGCCCCTCTTCAGAGGCAGCCCTTGTCACCAGCTTGTTTTATGTCCTGTATCCTCTTAAATCGTTCTCTGTATTTACCTCCTTGTTTATATACCAGCAATTTTCAACCTTTTTTATCTCATGGCACACTCAAACTAATTACTAAAATTCTGTGACACACCTAAAAATATATTTTTTGTCAATCTGACAAAAAAAACAATAGGTATAGTTTTGATACATTCGCACTGGACAGCTATTGTGTTGGCTGTTGTCATTTTTTTATTTGACAGTCTAAGGGAAAAGAGGTCATTGCCCCTGACCAAATAGTCAGGTATTGCATGTTTGAAAAATTCTTGTGGCACAGCCATGGCCAGTTTGGCTCAGTGGTTAGAGTGTTGACCTGCGGTCCAGAGAGACCCGGGTTTGGTTCCCACTTAGGGCGTGTACCTCGGTTACAGTTTGTCCCGGGCCCTGGTTGGTTGTGCGGGTGGCAGCCACTCGATGTGTCCCTTTCACATGGATGTTTCTCTCTTTCTCTCTCTTCCTCTCTCCCCCTCCCACTCTATCTGAACAAAAAATGAAAAAAATATCCTCGGGTGAGGATAAAAAAAAAAAATTGTGGCACAGAAGTTGAAAATTGCTTTTATATACACATAGTTGTACATACCGATTTGTGGGTCCCTTTTTTTTGTTAATCCTCACTTGAGGATATTTTTCCATTGGTTTTTAGATAGAGTGGAAGGGATGGAGGGAGAGAGAGAAACATCAATGTGAGAGAGGGACATTAATTGGTTGCCTCCAGCATGACCTCAACTGGGTCCAGGGTTTGAACCTGCAACCCATCTACATGCCCTTGACCAGAAATGGAACCCGAGACCCTTTGCCTCGGTCCGATGCTCTTGAGCCAAACCAGCCAGGGCTCTGGGTCCTTTTTTTTTTTTTTTAAATTAACATATTATTTGGGTTGTTCTGCAACTTGTTCCTTCTTTTCTTTCCCATGTTGGCATCTGGGGGTCTTTCTGTGCTAAGATACATAGATTTATTTATTTCTTTATAGTTGCTACACAGTACCATAGTATGATTTCTTATTTAGAACAGTGACATCCAGGAGAACTTTTTGTGATAATGGAAATATTCTATCGGCTGTCCAGTAGGATGGCCACTAGCTACCTGGTTAGTGACTGTTGAGTCTTTGAAATGTGCCTACTGTGAGTGGAGAACTAAATCTTTCATTTTATTTAAGTTTTTTTTTAAGGGGTTAATATTTATTTATTTATTTTTGTTACAGATGTTTCTCCTTTTCCCCCCACTGATTCCCCCTTCCCCCTCCCTCCCCGCACTTGGAATGTAGCACTGGTGTTCTGCATAAGAGGATTTCCAGAGGGTGGGATAGATGCTGGTCCTTAGTGAGCCTCAATTTGCATTTCTTTGCCTCACCTGGGAAAGGCTGAATCTCCAAAGGGGGCGCTGCTGGTTTTCCCCACAGCTCTGGGAAGGAACACAATGGCCATTCTCCTTTGTGGCCGCAACTTAGCAAAAACTCTGAGTGCCCTCCAAACCCCAGGTGTCCCCACAGAGTTCCAGCCCTGTCTGCCCTCCCTCTGCCGTAGCCCCCAGGTGAGTGGCTGCAGCTATTTTAGTGCTCTGTCCAGGCTCTCTGTACTGTGGAGCAGGCTTGGTCGTTATTCCCCAAAGGCGCTGCTCACAGCTAAGACTACTGCTGTCCCTGGGCTCCCAGCCCGCCACCCTTTCGCACCTCCGCAGATCCTACCAGTGTCTCTGGTTATATGGTCCTGTCCTGCTGCTTTTCTGTTGCTTTGTTCCAAGGATTTGTCTTTATTATAGTTGTAATTCCCGTTTGGTCCTGGGAGATCTTCTGCACAGCTTCTATTCACTCCGCCTCCATTTTCACATCCTCTATGCATATCTTGTGCGCAGCTGGGTCACACAGGCCTCTCTGGCGCCTCAGCACCCCGCAGGTCCCAAGGGCAACTAGATGACACAGACCCCGCTAGGTCTCACAGGCCTCTCTTGCGCTTGAGCACCCCGCAGGTCCTGGGGGTAATTGGATAACACAGTCCCTGCTGGGTCGCACAGGCCTCTCTGGCGCCTCAGCACCCCGCAGGTCCCAAGGGCAACTAGATGACACAGACCCTGCTAGGTCTCACAGGCCTCTCTTGCGCTTGAGCACCCCGCAGGTCCTGGGGGTAATTGGATAACACAGTCCCTGCTGGGTCGCACAGGCCTCTCTGGTGCTTCAGCACCCTGCAGGTCTCATGGGTAACTGGACTGCACAGTCCCTGCTGGGTCGCACAGGCCTCCCTGGTGCCCCTGCACCCTACAGGTCCCGTGGGCGGGCAACTGGATTGCACCAGTCTCTCTTGGGCTCAGGCTTCCCACTGCTCTTGTAAACTGCTGAACCGCACAGACCTCTGTGGAGCTCCAGGTCCCACAACTGGTGGCTGGGGAGTGCTGCTGCCCCGTGGGGCTCAACTCCTGCTCTGCTTTTACTGTAGTTTTGGGGGATGGGTCTCAGCTGCTGGTCTGTGCTTCTGTTGCCTGGGGATGGTTGCCTGCTCCCCAGCCTCTGTTGCTGGGGGTATATCTCAACTCAGATCAGGTGCTACTATGGGGGATGGTGCTGGGCTCCTGGCTGTCCGCGGCTTCTGCAACAGGCACCTTGGGAGCTCCACTACTGTGCACTGGTCTGTGTTGACACAGAGTGTCCACTGGTCCAATGGTGCCAGGTGCGCTGGTGGGCTCAGGTTGCTGGGTCCTAGCCGCTCCCTCTGCCTCCTCCCAGGGAAGACCCGGGATCTTCCAAAATGGTGGGACCTCCCCGCGGTGCAGGGAGAAGCACCCTGAAGGGCCGCTTACCAAGGTAGCCAGCTGCTCTGTCCACAGCACAGGAACTTTCTGCTCTGCGTCTTTGCACTGCACGGGTTTGGTCGTCCACCTTCACGTCCACTCACACACTCTCACGCACTTGTTCACTCTCTCACACACTCACTCTCCCTCTGGTCCTGCCTGCCGCCATCTTTTGGGAAGCCGCCATGAATCTACATTTAAAATTTTTAAATAGACACTGCAAAAATTGCAATTTTCTGAAAACTTAGTATTTAATAGATATTGTAAAAATTACAGTTATCTGAAGGGGTTGTATTAATTTATACTCCTAGTAGCAGTGCATTATGATGTTATCTGTTTCCTCATGCCTTAATTTTGCTGATTTAATTGACAAAACACTATCTGATTTTAATTTTTTACTCACTTGATTTCTAGTGTGATTGAACATTTTATCACATAGGATTTTTTTTTTTTTCTTTTTCTTTTTTTTGATGGAGGGACAATTTCTCCCATCTAAAATAGTGTTTTATCTTTTTGCTGTGATTTTGGAATTTCAGCAGGATGTGTCTGGGGTGGACTTTTTTCCCACTCATCTCACTAAATATTCATTGGGTCCCTTTCATTCTCTGGGAATTTTTTTCCCCCTATAATTTGAGTATTTCATCCCTTCTCTTGCCCCCTACCCCCACCCTTTCCTTTGGGAACTGTTATGTGTAAATTTTGGATGTATTTTCTATATTGTTTAACTTTTTTCCCCTCCCCCCAAGTTTTGTGTTCTTATGTCCCTTGTGGGAAAATTCCGTGGCCAGGTCTCACACGTTTGTTCTTTTGGGTGGGTGGGGGGGAACATCAACTCCTTATTTTATTTTTTACTATTATTTTTTATTATTATTTTATTTTTGTTACAGATGTTTCTCCATTTTTTCCCCATTGACACCCTCCTCCCCATCCCCCACACCCCGTCCCCAGCTTTGTTGTCCGTGTCCATTGGTTATGCATACGTGCATATAAGTTCTGTGCTTTATTTCTTCCCACCCCCCACCATCCTCTCTTCTGAGGGTTGTCAGTCTTTATTCTACTTCCATGTCTCTGGGTCTACCCTATTCCTCAGACTGTTATGTTCATTATATTCCACAAATAAGTGAGATCATGGGGTATTTGTCTTTTTCTGCTTGGCTTGTTTCGTTTAGGATAATACTTTCCAGGTCCCTCCATGTCGTCTCAAAGGATAAGAGATCTTTCTTTCTTAGAGCTGCATAGTACTCCATTGTGTATATGTACCACAGCTTTTTTATCCATTCGTCTAGTGATGGACACTTGGGCTGTTTCCAGATCTTAGCTATTATGTAAATAGTGCTGCTATGAACATGGGGGTACATATATTCTTTCTGATTGGTATTTCAGGCTTCTTAGGGTATATTCCTAGAAGTGGGATCACTGGGTCAAATGGCAGTTCAATTTTTAATTTTTTGAGGTAACACCATATTGTTTTCCATAGTGGCTGCACCAGTCTGCATTCCCACCAGCAGTGTACTGAAGTCCCCTTTTCTCCACACCCTCGCCAACACTTGTTGTTTGATGATTTGTTGATGGTGGCCATTCTGACAGGTGTGAGGTGATACCCCATTGTTGTTTTAATTTGCATCTCTCTGATGATTAGTGATGATGAGCATTTCTTCATATGTCTCTTAGCCATTTGTATGTCCTGTTTGGAGAGGTGTCTATTTTGTTCCTCTGCCCATTTTTTAATTGGGTTCTTTGTCTTCCTTTTGTTGAGCTGTATGAGCGCACGCTCTCCCTCCCTCCCTTCCTCCCTCTCTCTCTCTCCCTCTCCCTCTCTCTCTATATATATGAAATTAACCCCTTATCTGATGTACCATTGGCAATGATGCCCTCCCATACAGTAGGTTGCCTTTCCATTTTGGTGGTGGTTTCTTTTGCTGTGCAGAAGCTTTTTAGTTTGATGTAGCAGGTTTGTTCTTTAGCTGTGTCTCTAGCTAGCCAGCTATTGAGTTTCTTTTTTGGACCATAATCACTTTCACCTCCTGGATTTCTTTTTGGTTCTTTTTTTTATAACAACTTGTTCTTTCTTTATGCATGTTTTTCTGCTTTAACTTTTGAGGAGAAAATAGATCTATTTTTATTAAAAGAGTCCATTTCCTCTCTTGTTTCACTGGATTTGGTGCTGTTTGCTAATGTTTAATAAGGCAAGGATGTATATAAAACAGTTTAGAAAGATTTCCACCAAAAATAAAGTGTCTAAATATGAATTTTTTTGCTACCTTACTCACTGACAGTGTTGGAAAAATTAGGCTTTTCTGTAGGACATCTGATCCATGTGGTTACGCTATACATATCTATAACAGAGCCTTCTTCAGATTCATCAGTTTTTTGTTTGTTTACTAAGTATTTATTACTTAGTGCTTCTCATGTACTAGGCATTGTAGGTGCTAGTTATTATTAACTGCATATATTAAAATTCATTGATCTGGCATAATTTTGAGAAAAAGCAATGAGGATACATTTGAATGAAATGATATAATTTAATCATGTGATTAAATTTTAAGAGCATAAAATATAGAAAATATTGCCAAGAAGAAATCAGAAATAAACTACTGCTCGGCTAAAAACAATGCTGTTTTCTAAACTCTCAGAAGCTGACAATGGATGTGTCTTCAACTATAATTATCATTAGCACAGATCACTTCAAGTCTTCAACTTTACTGACTCCAGAGCAGACTATTATAGTTAATTTTTAAATTTTTTTCATTCTTTATTGATTTTAGAGACAGAGGAAGGGAGAGGGAGATATAAACATCAATGAGAGAGAACATCGATTAGCCGCTTCCTGCATGCCCCCCACTGGGGATTGGGCCCACAAACTGGGCATGTGCCCTGACCAGGAATCGAACTAGTGACCTCTTGGTGCATGGGTCGACTCTCAACCAGTGAGCCACACTATCTGGACTTAGTTATTTTCTTAAGGACTCTTAATATCCTTATAAAACAGCACTGGGCTGATTGTCTTTTAACAAATTGGTTTCTTCAATATATGACTAAGATATGGTGAGTAGTCATTTGTTTGGACACATAAATTTAGACTTTGACAATTACGGTATCTTGGATTCAGATTGGATGGGTAACATCCTAGCACTATGATAACTATAAAAATGTCATTACACCACATTATCAGTATTTGTTGGCACACAGAAATGAACTAATCACCAATGAGCCCAATTTTTTTCTTCAAAGAGATCTGTGAGCCTGTTACCTTGATAATATTTTTTCCTAGGTAGGCATTTCTTCCTTTTCTAAAGGAGAAATTTATTTTGAACTTTTCCCTTTTTGGAAAATTTTCAAGTGACCAGATGACATTTTGAGCCCAATGCATTGATTCTTTTTTTTTTTTCACTGTTCCTTTTTATTGGTTGTTGGGTATTGGTGTGCATAGCCTTTGGTGTCATGGCAGTAATTCCTGACCTCTTATCTGTCACAGATCCCGGATTACAGGAATGCAGTGATCGTAGCCAAGTCTCCAGCCTCAGCCAAGAGGTAGGTGGGTGCTCACTACTGAGCACTCCTTGATCCACATCTAGGGAATCAATCCTCCATCAGATTCAGGGTATTCTGGATTCAGCCTCAGTGGTTCCCACTGGTGTCCCTTATTTTTACTTTGTGGACTAGTAGTTTAAAAGATTCTCTGCCGACTCCATTTATTAAGTGATGATTAGTGTTCCTTTTTTTTCAACCTCAGTCTGTGACCACCAATCATATTTCTTGACCAAAGCCATCCAGGTTGGGGGAATACTAGCCTAGCTCTTCCCTCACTGTCAGTTTGGTGTCTGCTTGTTGTTTATCTTCAAATCTGGCATTTATAATAGTAGAAAATATACTTTGTAGTTCACTGCCTTGAACTCAGTAAATTTTTTTTTTAATCCTCACTTGAGGATATGTTTCCATTTATCTTCCGATAGAGTGGGAAGGAGAGAGAGAGAGAGACATCAACATGAGAGAGACACATGGACTGGTTGCCTCCCGCATGACCCTGACCAGGGCCAGGACCAAACTGCAATCGAGGTACATGCCCTTGACTGGAATCAAATCCGAGACTCTTTGGTCTGCAGGCCAAAGCTCTAACCACTTAGCAAAACCAGCCAGGGCGAACTCAATAAGTTATTAACAGAATTGTATCCAGCCCAGTGGTCATGTATTTGGTATGTGTTAAAAGGTGACATTTTACAGAATGAAAACACTCTGAGGCATTCAAATGGGGCAGTGCCAAGAGTCACATGTGACTTGGAATAACTGATGAGTCGGTAATACAGTACTTAAAGTTGTGTCTCGGCCAAGAGGGCTTTGTGTACCAATGTTTTCTGGAGAAGCAACTCCACTGGAGAAAGAAAGAAAAAATCAAATGTAAGAAAGAATACAGTCTTTTTCCTAAAAAAGGACTTTTAAAATTATTTTCCACAATTGAATACCTTTGCTCACTGGATCATTGGTGAGTCCTATGGAATGAAAGAAAGCATAGGTTCCTCTATGCTGGACCCATGGACTCTTATCATTGAAGGATGAAGGAGAGCTTGCACATAGCGAGCCACCAATTTAGAAGGATTGGAGATAGGTAGTTTTCCATTATAGATTAAGGATGACATTTAGTATATTAATTAGGTTGGCATTTGTGATAAACCATGAAGCTGCCATGTTCTTAGAGCGACCTCTGCCCACACATGCTTCCTTCAAGAAGCTGTATCATCAGAGTCTCACATTATCCATTTGATTAAGTCATAGTAAATTGTGACTCATTTTGGAATATAAACATTTCAAACAACTTTTTCAAACTTTTGTGCAAAGTCTGAATTAATTTTAATGTAGTAATTTGCTTTTCTCTGATGTACAGACTTTTTAAAAATTAAGGTAAAAATAATATAACATACAGTTAACCATTTTAAAGTATACAGTTCACTGGCATTTAGTGTATTCACAATATTGTGCGCCCTGGCCAGTTTGGCTCAGCGGTTAGAGCATTGGCCTGTGGACTAGAGTCCTGGGTACAGTTCCTGCTAGGGGCACGTACCAAAAAAAATAAATATATTGTGCAACCACCACCTCACTACAAAACACCCTGTGCTCATTATGTAATCACCCTCCATTCCTATCTCCCTCCAGCCCCTGGTAACCAGTAATCTGCTTTCTGTCTCTGGATTTGCTTATTCTGGGTATTTCATATAAATGGAACCATGCGGTATATGGCCTTTTGTATTTGGTTTCTTTCACTTAGCATAATGTTTTTGATGGCCATCTATGTGTTAGTATTTCCCTTTTCATAGCTGAATAATATTCCATTGTATGGATGTATTATATTTTATCTCTTCATCCATTGATGAGCATTGAGTTTTCCACCTTTTGGCTGTTTTGAATAGTACTGCTGTGAACATTTGTTTGTAGGGTTTCTACATTGACAAATGTTTTCATTTCTTGTGGATGTATACCTAGGATTAAAATTGCTAGGTTTGGTAAATCTATGTTTACATTTTTGAGGGACCACCAAACTCTTTTCCATTTTACAATCTCACCAACAATGTTACAAGGGTTCTAATTTTTCCACATTATTACCAACCCTTATGCTCTGGTTTTTCATTATAAACATCTTAGTGGGTGTGAAAGGGTATCTCATTGTAGTTTTGATTTGGATTTCCCTAATGATTAATGATGTCAAGCATCTTTTTGTGTGCTTGAGACTATTAATGTATCTTTGGAGAAATGTTTACTCAAGTCGTTTACTCATTTTTTAACTGGGTTGTTAAGTTGTAGGACTTTGTTGTTGAGTTGTAGGACTTCTTTATATATTCTAAGGACTAGATCCTTATCAAATATGTGATTTGCGAATATTTTACTCCATTCCATAGGTTGTCTTTTCCCTTTCTTGATAATGTCCCCTGATGTACAAAAGTCTTTCATTTTTATGAAGTCCAATTTAGCTTTTTATTGTTGTTGCTTGTGCTTTGGCATCATACCTAAGGATGCACTGCTACATCCAAGGTCGTTAAGTTTTGCCCCTATGTTTTCTCTTAATAGTTTAGTTTTAGCTCTTATTTTTAGGTTTTAGAGTTTTTGTTGTTGTTGTTAATCCTCACCCGAGGATATTTTTCCGTTGATTTTTAGATAGACTGGAAGGGAGGAAAAGGGAGAAAGAGAGAGAGAGAGAGAGACACATTGATATGAGAGAGACACATTGACTGGTTGCCTTATGCACAATCCCGACCGAAGCCAAGGATCGAACCTGCAACCCAGATATGTGCCCCCTTGGCCTCTGGGCCATTCTCTATCTACTGAGCCAAACCAGCCAGGGCGGGTTGGAGAGCTATTTTGAGTTAATTTTTGTGTATGGAGTGAGGTAGGCATTTAGCTTCTTTCTTTTCCATGTGATTTTTATTTTTTATTTTTTTTACAGTTTTTTTTGTTAATTAATTTTTGTTACAGATGTTTCTCCTTTCTCCCCCACTGATTCCCCCCTCCTCCGCCCTCCCTGCCCTTTCCCCAGTTTGTTGTCCATGTCCACTGTTCATGCATACATGCATATAAGTTGTGTGGTTTATGTCTCCCCCACCACCCCCCTCTTTAGGGGATTGTCAGTCTGTACCCCACTTCCGCGTTTCTGGGACTACCCCATTCCTCAGACTGACTGTTATGTTCATTATATTCCACAAATAAGTGAGATCATATGAAACTTGACTTTCTCTGTTTGGCTTGTTTCACTTATGATGATACTTTCCAGGTCCCACCATGTAGTCTCAAAGGATAAGAGATCTTTCTTCCTTACAGCTGCGTAGTACTCCATTGTGTATATGTACCACAGCTTTTTTATCCATTCGTCTACTGATGGACACTTGGGCTTTTTAAAGATCTTAGCTATTGTAAATATTGCTGCTACAAACATGGGGGTACATATATTCTTTCTGATTGGTGTTTTAGGCTTCTTAGGGTATATTCCTAGAAGCGGGATCACTGGGTCAAATGGCAGTTCAATTTTTAATTTTTTGAGGTAACACCATATTGTTTTCCACAGTGGCAGCACCAGTCTGCATTCCCACCAGCAGTGCACTAGAGTCCCCTTTTCACCACACCCTCGACAACACTTGTTGTTTGATGATTTGTTGATGGAGGCCATTCTGACAGGTGTGAGGTGATACCTCATTGTTGTTTTAATTTGAATCTCTCTGAAGATTAGTGATGATGAGCATTTCTTCATATGTTTCTTAGCCATTTGTATATCCTGTTTGGAGAGGTGTCTGTTTAGTTCCTCTGACCATTTTTTAATTGGATTCTTTGTCTTCCTTTTGTGGAGTTGTATGAGGACTCTATATGTATTGGAAATTAACCCCTTATCTGATATATCATTGGCAATTATGCTCTCCCATACAGTGGGTAGTCTTTCCGTTTTGATGATTGTATCTTTCGCTGTGCAGAAGCTTTTTAGTTTGATGTAGTCCTATGTGTTCATTTTCTCCTTTGTTTCTATTGCCTTAGGTGATGTGTCAGTAAAAATTCTGCTGCGTATGATGTCTGAAATTTTGTTGCCTACAGTCTCTTATAGGATTTTTATGGATTCATGAGTTACATTTAAGTCTTTTATCCATTTTGAGTTTATTCTCATGTAGGGTGTAAGTTGATAGTTTCATTTTTCTGCAAGTAGCTGTTCAATTTTCCCAGCAACATTTATTAAAGTGGCTGTCCTTACTCTACTGTATGTTCTTGCCACCTTTGTCAAATATTAATTGAGCATATTGCCTTGGGTCCATTTCTGGGTTCTCTGTTCTGTTCCACTGGTCTATATGCCTGTTCTTGTGCCAATACCAGGCTGTTTTGATTACAGTAGCTTTGTAGTATAACCTAAATCTGGTATTGTGATCCCTCCAACTTTGTTCTTCGTTTTCAAGATTGCTGTGGCTATTCGAGGCCTTTTTTGGTTCCATATGAACTTTTGAAATAATTGTTCTAATTCTGTGAAGTATGCCGTTGGTATTTTGATGGGGATTGCGTTGAATTTATAGATTGCTTTGGGTAATATGGACATTTTAATGATGTTAATTCTCCCAATCCATGAACAGGGTAGGTGCTTCCACTTTTTTATATCTTCCTCTATTTCTTTTTCCAATGACCTGTAGTTTTCTGCGAATAGGTCCTTTATTTCTTTGGTTAAGTTTATTCCTAGGTATCTTAATTTTTTTGCTGCAATGGTAAATGGGATTGTTTTCTTAGTTTCTCTTTCTGTGAGTTCATCATTTGTCTATAAGAATGCCATCGATTTCTTGACGTTAATTTTGTATCCTGCTACTTTGCCAAATTCATTTATTAAGTCTAGTAAACTTTTGATGGAATCTTTGGGGTTTTCTATGTATAGTATCATGTCATCTGCAAATAATGATAGTTTCACTTCCTCCTTTCCAGTTTGGATCCCTTTTGTTTTTTCTTCCTGTCTGATTGTTGTGGCTAAGACTTCCAGTACTATGTTAAATAGGAGTGGTGAAAGTGGGCATCCTTGCCTTGTT